TTATTCACCTCAGGAGCCAAACAAGGTCCCCACATCTATAATGCCTTTTATTTAAAATTCTAGTGCATTCTAGGGGTCATGTCCGCCCTGAGGCAAGTTGTGGCATCGACCTGGCTATGGGACATTTTGGGCCACCCTGGCAGATGATACTGCCGCCTATCTTCTCTTTATCATACACACAAAAGAGGCAGCTTCAATTCTGTTACCTGCTGACAGCCCCCAGTCTACCCAGTGGGGCTAAGTCTCTTTGAGCCCAGGGAAGAGAAGAGTTGGGTGAGTTGTCTGCCAAGGGGAGTCCCTGGGTGTGCAAATGGTTAATATGCTTGGCTGTTAACTGAAAGTTTGGAGGTTTGAGTCCACCCAGAGGTGCCTCGGAAGAAAGACCTGGTGATCTACTTACAAAAAAAAAATCAGTCATTGAAAACCCTATAGAGCGCAGTTCTACTCTGACACACATGGGGTTGCCATGAGTCAGAATCCCCCCGCACAGCAACTGGTACTGGTCTGCCAAGGATACTAACTTGCAGTGGGGTTTTTCCAGCTCAATTCATTTATGATTCATTTACTCATTGCCTTGTGGGTTAGGGTTGGGGGTAAAATGGTGAAAAATTGGATGGCACAGGGTGACGGGCTTAGGCGTAGTTCCTCAGCCTTAATCCTACCTAGCTGATCTCAGTCTTTAATGGAAAAAGAAACAAACTACCACCCAACTTCCCTGCCCCCTTTCTTCTCCCAGCTTCTATGGGGTCAGAGGAAAATGACTGAAATTCATGTCTTGAGATGAGAAGGAAGGAGCTTATCAACTCCAGCCTTCCGACCGTCAAGCGGCACCCTGGTCATGAGAACTAGCACTTATATAGCGCCTTACAGCACACAGCAGAGTGGCGCAAAACCACATCTGGAGGCTCCACATCGTACCTTCAGGGCGTCACGTGACCTCTTCAGGTGTCTGTTCAGGCAGGAAAACCTTACAGTTCTCATTGTTAGAGGGTATCCTCCAGTGTGTCACTGAAATCCATCTGCCTCTAATTTTTGTGCCTCTGGCACAGTAGCGAAGCACTCGGCTGCTAAGCGAAAGCTCGGCGGTTCAAATCCACCAGCCGCTCTGCAGGGGGAAGATGTGGCAGTCTGCTTTTGTAAAGATTACAGCCTTAGTTAACCCTACGGGGCAGGTCTACTCTGTCCTATAGGGTGGCTAGGAGTCAGAATCAACTTGACAGCTACAGGTCTAGTTTTTTGGTCCTAGTTCTGTCCACGGTTTCTATATAGACCATCATGATCTGGAGGAACGGGATACATTCATGATAGCTTGACAATTCACTTTATAGGAAAAACAGAATTGTTGTCTCAGTGCAATTAGATTAAAAGCATACAGGGCTGCTTGTGCAAGAATGTTCATAGCAGCACTATTCATAATAGCCAAGAAGTGCAAACAACCCAAATGTCCATTAACTGATAAATGGATAAAGAAAATGCAGGATATTCATACAATGGGATGTTATTCAGCAATAAAAAGAAATGACTTGCTGATACATCCTACGACATGGGTGAACCTTGAAAACATTATACTAAGTGAAAGAAAGCAGACACAGAAGCCCACATATTGCAGTATTCCATTTATATGAAATCTCCAGAATAGGCAAATTCTCTATTTTAAAGTAGATTAGTAGTTGCTTGGATGGGGAATATGCTGGGGAAAACGGGGGTGACTGCTAATGGGTATGGGTTTTTTTGGGGGTGATGCAAATGTTCTAAAATTGATTCTGGTGATGGTTGCAAAACTCTGTGAATATAGTAAAAATCATTATATTGTACATTTTAAAAAGTGAATTGTATGTTATGAGAATTACATCTTAGGAAATCTGTTATTTAAAAAGGTGTAAAGGGCTAATCTGAAGACAGCTAATATTTAACGAGCATTTATAATTTGCCAGGAGACCTGGTGGCGCAGTGGTTAATATATTTTGTGATTTTTATTTTCACAACAACACTTCTAGGTAGGTAACTATTATTATCTCCAGTTTAGAGATGAGGAAATTGAGACTTGAATTATTGTTTAAGATTGCATAGCTAGTAAATGACAGGAACAGATTTAGAACCTAGACACTCTGATTCCAGAACCCAGGATCTTAACTACTTCATTGTACTCTCTTTATTTCTCCTTATATCCTTCTTACCTCTTCTTCCCTTTATGGTTAGCTTCACGGAGTTCCTTGCCAGAAATGGGTAACACTGTAATTTGGTAAAATTTCTATGGCATCTTTACACTGCCACCTGGTGGTAGAAATAATTAAAGCAACCTCCAGCTACCTTGCAAAGTTGAGTTGCACGAAAAGACTCGAAAGCATTTTTCCCAATTACATCAATGCAGTCAAGCAGTTATGAGTTCTGCTTGATCCTGCTTTGAACCAAACACAGATCATATGAGAACAAAGGAACAGAACAGTTTGAGTCCCTGAAAGGATCTAAATTTTGCTGATTAAAAGATGTAACCGATCATAGAAAACCCTTGAGCAACTCTTTTGTGGTAGTATCTCTTCAACATATTTATTTATATATTTGAAACCTTATACCTGGTCTTTGGAGTCACTGGGTGGTGCCAACAGTTAAGCGCTCAGCTGCTAACTGAAAGATTGGAGGTCTGAGTCTACCCAGAGGCTCCTCGGGATAAAGGCCTGGTGATCTACTGCCGAAAAATCAGCCATCGAAAATGCTATGGAGCACATTTCTACTCTGACACACATGGGGTCACCATGAGTTGGAATCAACTTACTCTATTTTGAAAAACTCGTTCCTCCTGTTGCCCTTGTTCTAATGACTCATTTTAGTCACCATTTCTTTCTGCTGTTAAAACTGACGATTTAGAAATAATTTAAGGTTAGTTAGTAACCATTCACGGGATAGCCATGAGTCTGAATGACAGGACGATAACTAACAGCAGCAGCAACAACGACAACAAAGTAACCATTTACTGCTCTTTGAAGAAAGAAAAGGGGAGGGCTGTACAGAAGAATCTGTCTTGTTGCTTCCCCATCTTGGGCATGCAATTTCCTGGGACTCCCTTTGCCACCTCTATTTTCAGTGGCTATCCACCATTACTCATAGCAACTCATAGGTTCCTATGAATCAAAATCGACTCGACAGCATTGGGTTTGGTTTTGGGTTTTTGGATCCACCATTAGGCATGTCTTACCACGAGTTCAGACATAATGTGGGCATAACATGATCAACAACAAGCTAGAAGAAATCATACAGAAATCAACCAGTTTTAGAGCTGGAAGACGCTTTAGAGCTTGTCTAGTCTAGCTAACACAACCAGTTTGCATTTTCACGGCAGAAAGATTGGGAAATCTTGAGGAAAGGAATGGCTGAATTGATTTTTATGGGGTGGTAGTCCTAATCAGAAAGTATGAATCATGGCTCCCTGTAGCCTGCAAGGACATGGCAAAGGTGATGTATTGGGGGCTGGCTGTGAGCAAGGGGCTGGGGTGCTGATCGACAGTTTTAGCAATGATTCATTTTTGTCTTGGATCAGAGGTGCTCAGATGTTCTCAGACACTGTCAGTCACAACATCAGGACAAACTGGTGTGTTGAGCTTAGATGCAAGGTGTATTGCAAGTGATGTTACCAGTAATAATTACAGTATCAATGCTTGCAAATGCTTTTTCTTAAACAATTTCAAACTAGAAGTTGCAAGTACAGTACAAAGAGCTTTTTTCTCCAGAACCATCTGAGAGTAAGTTGCCAACCCAATGTCCTATTATCCCTTAATTCTTTAAAGTGTATTTCCTACAAATGGCATTCTCTTAGCTAATTTATAACGATCATCAACATCAGCAAATTAACACCGTGTCTCTTTTCCTCTTTTTATAAGACCCAGGCATGAAGAGATTAGAGTCCACCCTAATAACCCCATCTTAACTAACTATATCTGCAACAACTCTATTTCCAAATAAGGTTATATTCACAGGTACCAGGGGTTAGGGCTTCAGCATATCTTTTTGAGGTCATAATTCAACCCATGACACCATAATAATACCTAGCACCTAGCATAGTTCCTGACACAATGTAGTTGTTTAAAACTTTTTGAATAAGTGAATGAATGAATAAAATGAGAAAAAATAGACAGCGTTACAGTGACCATATTGGAAAATGCACATAACCTACAATCCAATTTATCTAAGCCTTCACCTGAAACCTGCTGTGTGTCAGGCATAGCACCTAGCACGGTGCTTGGTGCATAGTAGGTATTCAAGAACAGATAGACCCAAGGAATTATATGATACATACATTTCATCTGTCATTAAATTATTTATATATATACATATACATGTATATAGAGAGAGAGGGGGAGAGAGAGAGTGAGAGCACCCTGGTGGCGCAGTGGTTAAGAGCTATGGCTACCAACCAATAGGTGGGCAGTTTGAATCTACCAGCCGCTCCTTGGAAACCCTATGGGGCAGTTCTACTCTGTCCTATAAGGTCACTGTGAGTTGGAATTGACACGACAGCAATGGATTTTATATATATATATATATATATATATATATATATGATGCTGTAATTTCTATCTCTTTGTGATTATGTGTGCTGCTATATAGAACAAGGAAAACAGAACCCAGAGAGGGGTGGGTCTCCCAATCTCCACATCACAACACTTATCCCTGCCAATTATAGCACTGCCCCTTGAAAGGCAGACATAATCAGTACAATCAACGTTTATTGAGAATCTACTACGTGCCAGATCCTAAGCAAGGTGCTTTCTCATAAGGTCGAGCTGGGTGAGAGGCTGGAATAAAGGACAGTCAAAACTTGGGGATCCACTAGGAGCCAATGGGGATCACATGCTGACTCCCAAGAAGGCATCTGAGTTTCACCGTGCTAAGCATTTTCATAGCTCTTCTGAGTCTCTTCCTTTATAGAAAATAGGAGAATTCTACTTCTTTTCTTTTCTTTCCCATTCCTGTCAGTTCAAGTTTTTTTTTTTTTTTAATGCATTCTAATAACCATATATTTCATTTTCCACCCATCCAGACTGCTTGCTCCTTCCTGTTATGTCTGGGGAGAACTCATAAATGTCATTGGTGACAAAGCCACTCTCTGTGCTCACCGGAGTCACAAACCCACTTTCAGATGGATTCACAGCCATGTTGTCGTAGTCACAAGACATGTTATCAAGAACGGCTTCTCCTGAACACACGCGGAATGAAATATTCTTCAGATCTGGCCGGGTCTCAGCTAAGTCAGCTTCACTTTGTTTTCTTATGACCTTATAAACCTCCAGGTCCGGGCTGTTTCCTTGGTGGGGAGATGGCCAGATCGTGTGTTGCTCCTTTGTGTTAGGGCCTGGCTGCTGCCGTGTTCTGGGGAAAAGTAAACCAGAGCTGAGCATTTCAGTCACAAGGGGATTGAGAATATCCCTGTGCTTGCCTGTTCAGGCAAGAGCAAGTAATTCAATGCAGCCTCACCAAGCTGCCATTTCCCACCTACCTCAATTTACAGGCTGGGGCTTTGGGGTGGAAGGAACAAAACAGAGAGAAGTGTGGTTATGTCCAAAAACGATTGTGAATCTCTCATTCACTGCTGCCAGAATGTAGGCTGGGGTAACTACCCTGGGGTCCACAGAACCCTCAAAGAGTCCATGGACAGAAATGGATGGAGGAAAAATATCACATTTAAAAAAAACAACTCACCTCTAGTTGAAATTTGGCATATCTTTCAATTATGAACGCAGAAAGTAAGCCATACTAGAATTAGTAATATCTGTGCTTTGTCACAGATATTTTCATATCATGTCACCATTATTATAGATGTTCTTAAAATATATTTTATGCTCATCTGTACTTCAGTATCATGATGATTATAAACCTGTTGCTGTTGGGCTGATTCCAACTCATGGTGACCCCATGTGTGTCAGAGTAGAACTGCACTCCATAGGGTTATCAATGGCCGGAATCTTATGGAAGTAGATCACCAGGCTTTCTTCCGCAGTGCCACTGGGTAGATTTGAACTGCCAACCTTTTGATTAGTAGCCGAGCACAAACCGTTTGTGCCACCCAGGGACTTATGATAATTATACCTACCACTAAATAAAGAGGCAATAATAAAGAAGCACATGTATTACTGTATCTCAAATTCATTTTTGGAAATATTTTGCTATATGGAATATGATTATAATTGCTTCCTTTGTAATCTGATGTATTTTATTTTATGCATTTAAAAATGTTCTGGGAAGGGGTTCATAGGCTTCACTAGACTGCCAAAAGGGTCCATGGCAGAAAAAAGTTTAAAAATCTCTAGGATAGACAGAGGAGCCTTGGTGGTGCAGTGGTTAAAGCGCTCGGCTGCTAACTGAAAGGTCGGTGGTTTGAACCCACCAGCTGCTCCATGAGAGAAAGATGTAGCAGTCAGTCTGCTTCTGTAAAGATTACAGCCTTGGAAACCCTGTGAAGCAGTTCTACTCTGCCCTAGAGGGTCGCTATGAGTCAGAATAGACTTGACGGCAATGGCCTTGGTTTTTGTTTTGGGACAGACAGACCCCCGGCTTCCGAGCCATGAGTACCAGACCTTGGTGAGGTGCTAAATAGATGGCTTAGAGGAGGGAATCAAGAACCAGCAGCAGAGTAAGCAGCTGGAAAATAAGTTTGTAATATTTTGAACTAAATTCTACATTTTAGGGTAAAGAATTAATAAAAAACAATCATAATATTAGCTAACATTTTTGGAATGCTCTCTGTATGCCAGTTCTGAATGCATTACCTGCTTTAATTCTTATAATAATTCTATAAGGAAGTTATTATTAAATGAGGTTGGTCCTACGTTGGAATCTTACTAATTCATCTGAAATTGGTAATCAAAGGAGGTCAAATCTTAAATTAGATTTAATTTAGATTTGACGAAACTAGATTTGATTAAAAATGGTGGCACATGACCGACCCCGTAACACGAGTGCTCTGGGCTACTTAGTGTAGCTATTTGTAGCAATCTATGCTTGTGTGTTCAATTAAAAGAAAAGTCAATTAAAAAGATTTCGGCTATTTCATTTGAATTAAGTGGTTTAGTTTCATATTTTTACCAAAATATGTTGGAACAGTTATTTTCCATTTGGCTCACCATTCATTCCTCTGCTCATTCACTCAACACGAATTTTCTGAGTGAGGTCACACCTTCATGAGAGCACTTTGCTGAGTGAATGACACGGTTTCACCCCTCACGTCATTTAAAGCCTTCCACGCACACAAGTTAAAGAATGGAAGATCACTCTCTTAATCACAACGATGCACAAAAATGCTTAGTATGTCTGAATTCCTTGAGTCCATCAGAGAATTTGCTCTTAACTCAGCAATGGTGATTGTTTCGGAGCTGCCAAGGCTTTTAATTAAGTGAAAAGGGCAACGTCTAGATCTCAAAGAGTGCTCTTTATGCAGAAGACACAAAGGTTTACACGATGAAGGTTTTACTTGCCTCCTTCTACCGATCCAAATCCAGCATACAACTGAGGTGACCACAAGGAGGAGGAAAAGGGGGATGCTGGGGATTAGGATGTAGGCAAGGCTCCAGGCAGCTTCTGAAAAGAAAAATGCATTTGCAGCGTTAGTAATGTTTTATGTAAGCACATTCCTGGGAGGAAATAGATATGCGGTTATTCAGTGAGCAAGAGTTTTCTAGTGTCAATAAATGAGAGTTTTCTACCTGTTGTATCATCCTAGGTAATAGTGAGAATAAGGAGCCCTGGTAGCACAATAGTTAAGCATTCAACTGTTAACCCAAATGTTGGTAGTTCAAATCTAGCCAGCGGCTCTATCGGAGAAAGACCTAGCAATCTGTTTCTGTAAAGAAACAGCCTAGAAAACCCTATAGGGCAGTTCTACTCTTGTCACACAGGGTAACCAGGAGTTGAAACTGACTTGCTGTCACCTAACAACAATAACCTAACCCATTGCTGTCAAGTCAATTCTGACTCATAGCGACCCTACAGGACAGAGTAGAACCACCCCATAGGGTTTCCAAGGCTGTAATCTTTACGGAAGCAGACTTGCCACATCTTTCTCCCACAGAATGACTGGTGGGTCTGAATCACCAATCTTTCAGTTAGCAGCCATGCTTGACCACTGTGCCACCAGGGCTCCTTAACAACAACAATAGTGAGAATAAGTTTGAATTTTTGGGTCTCTTGGAAAATATCAGGAGGGCACTTTTATTAATTAAACATTCCCCCTCCCCCAGAAGAAAGAGACCCTCTCTTTCTTGTCCTTACTCTCCCTTAGCAAAGCAGGGGCTGCTAGGGCTGTGTTGATGCTCTTGCCTCTAAGAACGGCCGCTGTGGTTCCCAAAGGTGGGGTGGAGAGAGGGAGGAAAAAAGAAAGCAAACCAGAGGTCTCAGCATTATTTCCAGGAAAGAGAAGGCCACAGGAATCACATGAAATAGACTGTAAAACCTTCCCAACATTTTTGCCTAAGACTAAACTGAATTCATGAGCAGAGACTATAAAGAACTCCTAGAGGCTTGCTTTCTTGTTGGTTCTTTAAAACTTATTAGCTGCCATTGAGTTGGCCCAACTCTTGGCAACTCCATCTATGCTCAGTGGAATGAAATGCTGCCTAGTCCTGCGCCATCCCCATGACTGACTGTGGATCGGAGCATTGTGATCCATAGGGTTTTCACTGGCTGATTTTTTGGAAGTAGATCCAGGCCTTTCTTCCTAGTCCATCTTAGTCTGGAAGCTCCACTGAAATCTGTTCAGCATCATAACAGCACACAAGCCTCCACTGGCAGATGGGTTGTGGTTGCACATGAGTTTCATCGGCCAGGAAGTGAATTTGGGTCTTCCTCATGGAAGGTGAGAATTCTACCACTGAACCACAAATGTCCTCCCTTGAAAACTTAGAACCAGAGAATTTTCCCTCAAGGAGCTTCAGGGAGAATCAAGGATTGGGGACTGACACCCTTCCTACTCCCACTGATCCAAGATTCCCAACTACACAGAGGCTTTTGCTTTGTGTTTCTGTGAGGCTGCGAACTTGACAACTATTAAAAAAAAAAATCCCAAGAACACTTTAAATACTCCCAATAATAACAATGAGCAATACAAGTGCTCCCCGCCTTTGCATAGCACTTTGTCCTTTGTTCAAAGCATTTTCACATATTGCATCGTATTGCATTTTATGGACACAGTAATGCTCTCAGGTAGGTAAGATAAATATTATTAGTTCTATTTTGCAAATGATTAAATGGAAGCACAGAGAAATTAAGTGGTTTTGTAAAGTCACCTAGTGATAAAAACCCAGATGTTCAGCACTCCAATTTAACGCCTCTTTTTCTTCTGTCTTTTATGGTTTACCTTTTAAAATGATTTGTCCATTTCCTCTGTTTCATGGATGCCTTTTTTTTTTAAGTTTATTTCTTTTGTTATTGTTATTGTTGAGAATATACATAGCAAAACATACACCAATTCAGTGGTTTGTACATGCACACAATTCAGTGGCATTGATTACATTCTTCGAGTTGTGCAACCATTCTCACTCTCCTTTTCTGAGTGGTTCCTCCCCCATTACCGTAAACTCACTGCCCCCTAAGGTTCCTATCTAATCTTTCGAGTGGCTGTTGTCAATTTGATCCCATACAGGTATCCGGCATGCCTATTCATCACGGATGTTATGCATCATGACTGAGTCTTTCTGCTCTTATTTCTCTATGACCACTCTCTCAGCCATACCCCCACCACTCCCCTCACTCCGTTCTCTGGGTGGTTCCCAGGCTCCATCGTCATGCCAGTTTTTACCTCCCGTCTAGTCTAATTGTCTTAGGATAGCTCCATGTGCACACTTCACGGATGACACCTAACATTTAACGCAGTTTTCGCAAAGACACAGATGTCATGTCTAGTTCCATTTTTTAGCAGCCGTGGGAAAGAATAAAATAGGGAAATGTTTAACCATGGGCAGTGTGTAATCAGGAGAGTCCCATTATCTATTCGTCCCAGGAGAATTCCACACAGACCTTTACTTTCTTTAAATGTTTCTCTGGCATCTTCTTTCTGCGTATCTTCCGGAATTATGGGTTGCTGGGTTGCTGGCTCTGTTCTGTCACCTGGAGAGAGACACATAGGCTGGGAACCTGGAGAAAGCATCATAATCCAGGTATTCTCTGAGGTCCTACCAGGGCCAAGGTGGGAAGCAAAAAAGCAGTAGCAATTTGACCAGTGCAGTTTATAAAGAGAAAAGTAATGGGTTGAATTTTCTGCCCTAGAGGTTTATTGTCTTTATCTTTTGGTGAGGCCCTTGCTGCCAAAGATCAGGTACTGAAACAACCAAGAAGCAGCTGGCAATGGGCACATAAAATACCAAGGTACCATGGGGAAGGGCCAGTGACTCACTGCTAGGACCATAAATTACCAGTTTGGCTCACTTCCTGTCTCGTTAGATGATATCATTCATTTCATATTGTGAATAATGACAAGTAATAACCCAAACTGAATTTGCAACTGGTGCTTTTTCAGCTTTGAGAGAAACGGGCAATACTACAGCGAATGAGACTAATGAATTACTTGTCATGGCGGGGTGTGGTGTACACCTGTCCAAACTGTCTGGTTAACACCAGTGGTATTTCTGTTGAGTAATCTGGTATAAAGAATATCTGTTTCTAAAGCTATGAAGAGAACCAAAATCCACACCAGTTGCTGAGCAGTTGATTCCTACTTGTGGCAACCTCACGTGTGTCAGAGCAGAACTGTGCTCCGTAGGGTTTTCAGTGGCTGATTTTTTGGAAGTAGATCACCAGGCCTTTCTTCCGAAGTGCCTCTGGGTGGATTTGAACTGCCAAATTTTCAGTTAGCATGCTTGGAAACAACCCCAAATTAACCCAAATCTCAAACAACAGGCTTACCTCCAGGCCTTGTAGAAGGAGCTGTTGGTTTCTCTGTAGTAGAAAGAAACAAAACCAAAAATAATTTTATTTCCATGTCATCTGAATAAAATCGACCAGAGCACAGAATTTGTTTGTTCATTCAGTCATCCAAAGAAAGTTTGTCTAGTGTTAGCAGATGCCAGGAACTGGGTTAGTAAATCAAAAGAATCACTTCTGCACAAAGACCAGAGGTGGCGTACCAGAATCTGAGCAACTTTCTCCCAGCTTTATTTGGGTGATTTCCTTTTAAAATGTATTTTAAAGCTTTTAAATATGAGAATTTCCAAATATACACAAAAGTAGAACAATTAGTATAATGAGCCTCCATGTAACCATCAAGAAGCTTCAACCATTATCAGCATGTTGTTAATCTAGTTTCAATAATAACCCCCTCTCTGGCCTGGATTATTTTAAAGCAAATCCTGGACATTTTATCCATTCATATTGGGGATGTTTTAGGGAACAACACACACTAATCTTTAAGCAATGGAAGTGGTTGAGGGGCTAAGTGGACCACTGGCTAGCCCCGAGGCAGAGACTGGTGACTCGGAACCTTGAGTTATTTCAAATTTTTCAAAGAGCCTCAGGAAAGTCAGGTTGCACAGACAACCTACATCCAATGCCTTTGCTCTTGGATGGGAATGTGTTAGTTAACCCCTTGTGTTGGCAGTGAGTCTCTTATGCTGATCAGATGCTCTGGGGCTCATGGGGACAGGGTCCTTAAGGGTAAGTTGTTAGTAATCTCAGTCCTAAGGCCAGGATGTCAAGCTTATTCTCAAGTCTCATTCAGAAAGGACAGGAACTTTTAATTATCTCTCCACACACATGTGTCTGTGTAAAGGTGAAGCACATCCACTATTCATTTAAAAAAAAAAACACAAAACACTTGCATACTGACTACTATATGATAGGCACTGTACTAAGTGTTTTATAAAAACAAATTCAGTTAATCCTGACAATCTTATCAAGTAAGTACTACTATTATTCTGGTTTAATACACAAGGAAACTGAGGTGCAGGGAGATTAAGTAATTTACCCAAGATCTCACAGCTTAAAAGTAGCTGAACTAAGATCTGAACCAAATAAATTAAAATTAAAATACTAAGGAGACAAACTGTGAGCTAGGCAGTGGGGAAACAACCCCAAATGAGAAATAGTCCCAGCCCTTTAAGGAACTTACACACTACAGGATGGCCATAAAATCTGGAAATACAGGAGAATATTAATTACTATTAATTTCGTGATATTTCATTATAATACATTGTATATTCAATGATAGAAACCCTGGTGACATAGTGGTTAAACGCTTGGCTGCTAAGCGAAAGGTCAAAGGTTTGAATCCACCAGCCTGCTCCAAGGTAGAAAGATATGGCACTCTGCTTCCGTAAAGATTTACAGCCTTGGAAATCCTGTGGGGCAGTTCTACTCTGTCCTATAGGGTCGCTATGAGTTGGAATTGACTCGACGGCAGTGGGTTAGGTTTTTTGGTTTATATTCAATGACGTGATGTGATCTGTTCGTTTTGTTGTCTCTCCATAATTCAATCCACTGTGCAAAGTTGCAATACACACGGCACGTTAATGCAGGACTTCCATCAGTCCCTGTACTTGCATCTGTGATGCATCGCTTCCGATGACTTGTCTCTAATTTTCACTGAATACACCTGTGCTTTTAACACACCCTAGAAGAATTAATTAAGGGGTTCCAATCTGGATAATATGCACCCATTCTACATGGCCACATTGTCAAATCCTACTTTAGTTGTTGTCATTCGACAAGACCCTTGTCACACTTGAGTAATGGGATGATGGTGTGACATCCTGTTGAAACCACACTGGGTGGCCTTCAAATGCAATCAATAATTGGTCAAACATATTATGTTTCCAGGCTTCAGTCAATTGTCATGGATTGAATTGTGTCCCCTAAAAATATGTGTATCAATTTGGCTAGGCCAAGATTCCCAGTCTTGTGTGACTGTCCACCATTTTGTGATCTGATGTGATTTTCCATGTGTTATAAATCTTACCTCTAAGATGTTAATGCGGTGGGATAAGCAGCAGTTATGTTAATGAGGCAGGACTCAATCGACAAGATTGGATTGTGTCTTGAGCCAATCTCTTTTGAGATATAAAAGACAGAAGTGAGTAGAGAGACAAGGGGACCTCATACCACCAAGAAAGTAGTGCCAGGAGCAGAGCGTGTCCCATGGACCTGGGGTTCCTGTGTGGAGAATCTCCTAGCCCAGGGGAAGATTGACGACAAGGAGTTTCCTCCAGAGCTGACAGAGAAAGCCTTCCCTGACTTTGGACTTCTAGCCTACTAGACTGTGAGAGAATAAACTCCTGTTTGTTAAAGCCATCCACTTGTGGTATTTCTGTTACAGCAGCACTAGATGACTAAGGCACCAATCAGGTAGTAAAGGGGACAAACTTGTAAGTAGGCAGTTAAAGTACAGTGTGTGAGGTGCTGTGATTCTTACAGCAGGGCCACCTTGCCAAGTTTTGAGGGGCCCTGTAAGGCTTCCCAAGAGGAAGTTATTTTTTAACTTCTTAAGTTGAAATAATTTCAGATCTATGAAAATGTGCAAAAATAGTACAAAGAATTCCCATGTATCCTTCACCCAGATCCCCCAAATGTTATCAATTTACCACATTCATTTGCTTAATTATTCATTATCTACCTACCTACCTACCCATCTATCTGCCTACCTATCTACCCATCCATCCATCCATCTATGTAATTTTTTTCCTGAGAGTAAGTTACAGATATGATGTTCTTTTACTTCTAAATACTTCAATATGCATTAAAATGGGTGGGGGGCATCCTCTTGTGTAACTATAGTGGGCAGTAAGCAATAGAGCGTGATCAACAAAACAAACAAGCAGAAAAACAAACACACAACTAAATAGGTTCCAAGTCCCAAAATAAAAGAATATTAAAACAAAATTCAAAAGTTCACATTTCAAAAAAATGTTTAAAAGTATGAAGTTTTAAATTATAAAGCTAATAAAATATAATGATGGAAAGCCAGTCTGCAACAAGTTCGTTGCTTTCACTGCTCTGAAAAAGGCTAAGCCAGCCTAGGCCTTTGCTGTCTCCCTGCCCGAGACAACATTGTATAGTGGGGAGGGGGAGGTCACTGGAGAGAAGAATTCATCTGAGGGGGTGAAGAGGAAAAACACCTCTTAGCAGCAAAACTGCAGCAAAAGCATAGTCAAATGCAAACAATTTAAAAATGACAGCATTATTTAGTCCCAAACTAGATACAACTAACAAGTCATTCTATTCCTGCCAGGAAAGAATGCAGATTGGGGGCCAAGCAGTTGGCTTGGGTGGGGGGTGGGGGAGGAGGAGGTTGTGAGAAACTTCAGGGACAGATCAAAAGTCACTTCAAGTTTAGATCTAAGCCAGTTATGTTGGAGGAGTCTGGGAAATCCCAGCTGAGTGAGACTATGGGCTTGTAGCCAATTCAAAACCCTTAAACAGATCTAGAAGCAAATGCCAGTTGAATTTGCAAGGCATCTGTAGAGGGTGCTCTGGGGAGTTTCAGCCTGCTCTTAGAAGTCCTTGCTGTCTCTGTCCAATGCTGGTGAAACTGGTGTATTCTATCATCTGCCTCCTCTGGTCGTTATTCTGTTTCCTTAAAGCCCCAGAAAATAATCTCATATCGCCATTAGAAGACTTGCAGGAGCAATGGCCAGCTTCCTTTCATATTTCTTCTTTATTTCAAGCTCCTACAGCTAACCTCACATGTAGAGAGAATAGGAATTTGGGGTTGTCCACATAGAGGGCTTTTTATGCCCTGGAAGTTCTAATCTTGCTTTATCATACATAAACTAGACCCTTACTTTTCTCCATCCCTTATCTCAGCGTTGATGCCCCTTTCCTTTGCTAGAATTACTCCTCACTGAGGAAGTGGCATTATATTTCCCTTTACAAGAACTGCAAATGTTTAACATTACTGGCATTTGCAACAAGCTTTCCCAGAGAGACCATATAACAAATTCTTGGTACTAGCAGCTGCTTATGAAATGAGAGAAGAGGCTGAGAATTCAGCTGCATAGCTTGAAAAGGATTCGTTACCGTTGGAGTATTTGCAAATGAAATTGTTCTTCATGTTGCATCGGTCGTCATTCCACTGGAACACGTAGGGGCCCCCGATGCCAGCAGGTGCTGACGGTTGATGGTACATGACCACACAGACCTCGCTGCCACAGGACGGCTCATCCACATACCAGTTCCTGCAGGAAAGGGGTCAACAGTGAAGGCCACAGGGCAGGATACCCCAAGACTTCCCAGTCAGGTTCCAGCAAGCCATGAACTTCTGATTCTGCTTCTGAACATGATCTACAGTAAAGGAAGAACTGAAGGACTGCCAAGAAGTAGAACCACACGCTTTCTAATGTGGACATCACAATCAATCATCTGACATCTACCACAACCTCTTTGTAGGGAGGAATATATGTCTGCAAAGTAATTATGAGAAAAACACCTAGCAGGGCCAGTCTGGATGATCTGACGTCTTTCTTGCTTTTTGATAATTAGGTTTTGTTTTCCTTATTTAAAGAGACTGGCTGCACTGAGAAGAGGCATGACTTATTTCCTCCAGAGCTTACCCTGCTCCCATCTCTGCAAGCTTCAACCACGACTGCCTTCCTAATCCTGAGGGGGGAAAAGCATAAAACCAAAAAAAATCATTGCCATCTAGTCCATCCTGACTCATAGCGACCCTGTAGGACAGAGTAGAACTGCCCCATAAGGTTTCCAAGGCTGTAATCTCTACAGAAGCAGACTACCACGTATTTCTCCCCCAGAGCAGGCTGGTGGGTTTGAATTGCTGACCTTTTGGTCAGCAGCTGAGTGCTTAAGTAGAAGGAAATTCAAGCATTTGAGCAAGATTTTCCAAAATGCAGAGGCTGTCAAAGCAGGTGAGGGGGTGAGGACTCTTGTCTTAGTGGAAGGCCACTTGGTCTTTTTACAATTTTTGGTTGTTTCCACCTGAGCCGGCTAATGATGATATATTTCCCCACCCCATCAGCCTCTGCTGCCAGATTTCTTGCCTTTGTCTCCCCACCTCCTTGAAAGGATACATCAGATATCTCTCCTATCCTGCAGTACTTGGAATTAAATGGCGCTACCATAATGTTTGATACTCCTTAGAAGTGAGGATGTGGTAACTTTGTCTTGCTTACTTTGGACACGTTATCAGGACCAAGACTGATCAGGGACAGATCAGAAAGACTTCAGGGACAGATAAAAAATCACTTCAAGTTTAGATCTAAGCCAGTTAGGATGGAGAAGTCTGGAAACCCCCAGCAGAGTGAGACTATGGGCTTATAGCCAATTTAAAACCCTTAACAGATCTGGAAGCAAATGCCAGTTGCATTTGCAAGGCATATATAGAGGGTGCTCCAGAGAGGACATCATGTTTGGTAAAGTAGAAGGTCAGTGAAAATGAGGGAAACCCTCAAATGAGATGTATTGACACAATAGCAACAACGATGGGCTCAAACATGGCAAAGAACAGGAAGATGGCATAGGACTGGGCAACATTTTGTTCTGTTATACATAAAGTCACCATTAGTTGGAGCCAACTCAATGGCAACTAACAAAGACAGCGACCTGGCTGGATATGTGCATGCCAGGTTAAAGCCTTGGAGCCTATAGAGCATCTAAGTGCCGCAAGCACCCACTCCATGAGTTGGCTCAGGTCTGGGCTTTGCAGTCTGCCTGGTCACCCTCCCTGAGTCCAGTTTCCCTCCAGACTTCAGATCTTGCCGTGGTTCTCAGACTATTTAGCTGGGTCCTGCAGTTCTGCCTAGCTCTTATCAGAGCCCTTCCTCAGGAAAGAAGCAGTTAATAATAGACAGACCTCCTGGTAGCATTTCAGTTTGGCTTGGCTTGAGTCCTGGGTTGCTGTCTACCAAAAGGAAGACCCTTTGCTGCTCCCACTGGGTTGACTTTGCCAGAATAAGAGGCTGGGCCTTGTACCTCATTAGTGACCTCTAGCCCATTTTCCAACACCACTGGGGGACCTCCTGCCCTGACTTGCCTTGTTCCCCTCCATACTGGCCTTATGGCTTTATGTTATTTCATCTCATGGATAGATGGAATATTATGCCTGGCACATAGTTTCTGGACCTGAGCCAGTTTTCAGACTCAGAACCCACTGATACGAGGGAAAGTCCAGGTTTCCAGAAGGAAGGTGAACATGGTAATGGTTTCCCCTATTCTTCCCAAAAGGGACTATGGCCATTCACTCAGGTAACTTTACAATGGGGAAAGTAGTATACCCAAATATTACCATGCAAGTTGACACTGATACCTGAAGACATGAAGTATCATCAAAGTCTCCCATTAAGAGTGGGGACATATTGGGGCCAGTTCTTGCATGGAGTTCTTGTCTGGGTCCAGCTCACAAAAGACCCCACCCAGTGGTCATTCTCCGGTCCCCAAATATATAAATACATATTTGGTAGTTGGTATACTCCCACATTGGTTTCTTAGCCTATGGGGTAAGAGCTATGATAGTGGAGAAGGCCAAGTGGAAGCCTTTGAAATTCCACTCCCTTCTCTCCCACCCCCCAGCAAGATAGTAAATCAAAAACAGGGGAAGATGCCACCCTTGAAGACCTAGGGAATGCAGGAATGGTGCTCCCCATCATAGCTGTATTTAATTCACTGGTCTGATTCCTGCAAAAACCAGGAGAAAGACTGGAAGACTGGGGACAAGGTGGCCTTGGATACAGTGATATGAATAGACATAAGGGAGTAGGCATAAGTAAGTGAATCTTTCTGTCATGTGTTAAAGCTCACCAGAGAACATCTACCACGGAAGAAGCACTAAACAACCAAAGCAATGAAATGACCCCGCCAGCCTGTTATCAGCCACCCCAGTGCTGGTGCAATAGATGCATGAACAGAGTAGTCAAGGTAGCAGGGATGGAGGTTGTACATGAGCCCAACAGTATCAGCTAGCAACAGAAGTCAATGCTGAGTCCCTGATATAGCAGCAATCTGATACTTTACTTGGTGGCAAGTTGATGACTTCTGCTAGAGGATACAGCAAGAGTTTTATTGAACTTAAGCTATGGCTGCCACTTGGGCACCTTGGGATCCTTGTGTCCAGGGACCAGCTACCCTGTCCCTCAAAGTCCGACTACAGATTCTTCTTTGTTTCCAATTTTCACATTCCAATCACCAGTAAGATCAATGCATCTTGATTGCATGTTTGATTAATTTCAGACTGCATAAGTTGGTAAAAATTTTCAATTTCCTCATCCTTGGCATTAGTGGTTGGTGTGCTAATTTGAATAACAGTCGCATTGACTGGTTTTCCTTGTAGGCATATGGATATTATCCTATCACTAACAGCACTGTACTTCAGGATAGATCTTGAAATGTTCTTTTTGACAATGAATGCAATGCCATTCCTCTTCAACTTGTTGTTCCCGGCATAGTAGACTATATGACTGTTCGATTCAAAACGGCCAGTACCAGTCCATTTCAGCTCACTAGTGCCTAGGATATGGATCTTTATGCGGTCCATTTCATTTCTGATGATTTTCAACTTTCCTGCATTCATACTTCATGTATTCCATGTTCTGATTATTAATGGATGTTTGCAGCTGTTTCTTCTCATTTTGAGTCATGATACCTCAGCAAGTGAAGGTCCTGAAAGCTTGACTCCCTCCACATCATTAAGGTCGACTCTACTTTGTGGAGGCAGCTCTTCCCCAGTTGTATTATCCATCATACATTCTATGTTCTGATTATTAATGGATGTTTGCAGGTGTTTCTTCTCATTTTGAGCCGTGAAACCTCAGCAAATGAAGGTCCTGAAAGCTTGACTCCATCCACGTCATTGTGGTCGACTCTACTTTGAGGAGGCAGCTCTTCCTCAGTTGTACTCTGAGTGCCTTCCAACCTGAGGGGCCCATCTTCTGACACTCTGTCAACGTTCTGCTGCTATTCATACGGTTTTCACCGGCCAATTTTTTCAGAAGCAGACCGCCAGGTTTTTTTCTTCCTAGTCTATCTTAGTCTGGAAGTTCTGCTGAAACCTGTCCATCATGGGTGACCCTGCTGGTATTTGAAATACTGGTGGCATAGCTTCCAGCATCACAGCAACATGGAAGCCACCACAGTATGCGAAACTGACAGACAACTGGGGTTTACTGTGTTAAAATATATTTAACGTGGAAGTTGCCATTTTAACCATTTTTTAAGTGTACAATTCAGTGGCATTAATTACACTTACGAGGAGCCTTGGTGACGCAGTGGTTAAGCACTTGGCTGCTAACCACTTGGCTGCTAACCAAAAGGCGGGTGGTTTGAACCCATCAACTGCTCTGTAGGAGAAAGATGTGGCAACTGCTTCCATAAAGATTTACAGCCTTGGAAACCCTATGGGGTAGTTCTACTCTGACCCGTGGGGTCACTATGAGTCAAAATCAGCTTGATGGCAATGGGTTTAGTATTTTTGATTAATCACACTCACAATGTTATGCAACCATTACTATTATCTTTTTCTAAAACTTTTTCATTATCCCAAACAGAAACTCTATCTATTAAGTGATAACTCCCCATTCTCCCCTTCCGCCAGCTCCTGGTAACCTATAATCTACTTTCTGGCTCTATGAATTTGCCTCTTCTAGTTATTTCATATAAGTGGGGTCATACAATATTTGTCCTTTGGTGTCTGGCTTATTTTACTTAGTGGAGGCCTGGTGGTGCAGTGGTTAAGCGTTTGGCTGCTAACCAAAAGGTCAGCAGTTTCAGTCCACCAGCTGCTCCTTGGAAACCCTGCAGGCCAGTTCTACTCTGTCCTATAGGGTTGCTATGAGTCGGAATCGACTCGATGGCAATGGGTTTGGTTTTTTAATGTTGTGGCAAAGTCCGTTAATACACTTGGCCGCTAACTGAAAGGTTGGAGGTTTGAGTCAACCCAGAGGCATCTTGGAAGAAAGGCCTAGGGATCTACTTAGATAAAACCAGGCATTAAAAAAATGCAGTGAAGCACAGTTCTACTCTGACATCCATGGGGTCGCCATGATTTGGAATCGACTTGATGGCCACAGGTAGTGGTAATACTGTAGCATGTAACCTCATTCCTTTTATGGCTGAAAAATATTCAATTGTATGTATATAGAGTATACACAGTCGATTCTCATTATTCATGGATTCCATATTTGCAAATTCTCCTACTTGCTAAAATTTATTTGTAAACTCAAAATCAATACTCGTGGTCCTTTGCTAGGCATTCATGGACGTGTGTATGCGGGGAGTGAGGGGAATGCGAGCCACCTTTTGTGACATAGCCAACTGAGGTTGAACAAGGCTGGCTCAGTATTTGCTAATTCAGTGTTCTGGGAGACTTTATAGAACATAACTACTGCGAATAATGAGAATGGACTGGGCCATGTTCTGTGTATCCATCCATTTGTTGACGGACACTTGGGTTATTTCCACCTTTTGGCTATCGTGAATGAAGCTGTAATGAACAGTGGTGTGCATGTATCTGTTTGAATCCTTGCTTTCAAGTCTTTCGGGCATATATCCAGACTTCCTCCTTTTTGAGTTATGTCAAGTGAGTCAGCTGCTGTGGATTTCACACTTACCTAAATTTTGATGTGCTGCCATCAGTCCAAGCATAGAGGTCCTGGCATGGTGTGCTATTGCTTTGTTTCTCCTCACGCCTCCTGAGCCCAATCCAGAAATCACCATCAGAAGCCAAGAGGTTTTCAATGAAATTTTGTATCAGTCTCTGTTCGTCTTCAGACTCGATGCTGACTAGCTGGCCCCCATCCATCCTGCAGGCTGCTCTGGCTTCCTCAAAGTTCAGTCTTCGAGAAGCATCATGGAAGTAAATGACTTTATAACAAGGCCTCTGAGTCCCTCCCCGGCAGACTAGCTGCCCTAGAGAAAAAAGAAGTCAATCTGTTTTAGTGTCCCAAAAAGTATACCAGGGCAGGGATTCTTTGGAGGTATCTGAATACAGTATGACTAGGCGGGAATACTGATTAATCATTAGTGGATGGTTATAATGTCAGTTAGGGTTCCCAGAGCAAATTAATATCCCTTCCAGCATGGAAGTACAATGATTTAAACTCTGATGCCTATGTTGTGTAGGGACTCCATGTTTTGTTTCAATGTATTGTTTGGTTCATTAAGTGGACATTTTTGACTATTTTTTAAAAAAGAGATAGATGAAGAGTTATGTTTTCACTTAACGACATACAAATATGTCTTTCATGCCATTAGGGAATCTCAGGGGATAGTGTGGCTTCAAGCGAGTATCTCTGTTTGGTGGTTCCTTCACGTAAGAGAGGCAATTCGAAGTCAGGTGTGGCCTCTGGCCTCCTCTACCCTGGAACCTTCTTCCTATGTAGCACGGCTGAGAATTCACTTAGTCTCTGGTGTAACCAGAAGCTAACAGTATCAGATTCATGAGGTTGTCTTTAACTGACAGTCAGCCCTAGCCTAAAGATAATATCTGTTGTTGATGGGTGCCACGGAGTCGATTCTGACTCATAATGACCCCATGTGATGGAGTAGAACTCCCTGTAGGGTTTTCTAGGCTGTAATCTTTATGGGAGCAGATCGCCAGATCTTTCTCCCTCAGAGCCGCTGGGTGGGTTTGAACCGCAGACCTTTTGGTTAGCAGCCCAGCACTTAACTACAGTGCCACCAGGACTCCTAGATAACAGCTAAGGTTTCTGACTTCTTACTATATGCCAAGAACTGTGCTAAGTGCAGGAGCCCTGGTGGCGCAGTGGTTAAACACTCGGCTGCTAACCAAAAGGTTGGCAGTTTGAACTCACCAGCTGCTCCGTGGAAGAAAGATGTGGCAGTCTGCTTTCATAAAGATTACAGCCTTGGAACCACTATGGGGCAGTTCTACTTGGTCCTATAGGGTTGCTGTGAGTAAGAATCGACTTGATGGCTATGGGTTTGGGATTTTTTTTTGGATGCTAAGGGCTTTACATTTACATACATACTTTATCTCATTTAATCCTCATAATAAACTCCCAGTGTAGGTATTGTTTATGCCCCATTTTATAGATGAGAAAACTGAGGCTCAGAGGAATTAAGTAATTTGGCTAAGGTCACACAACTATCAGCAGCATCGCCTAAGTTAGAACCCAGATCTAATTACAAAGTCATGCCAGTAACTACTGAACTATACCACTGGCTCTGGCTCCACTCCAGGCTCAGTTTATACTGGGAACCCATGAAATGTGTATGGGCTGACTGACACCTGAAGGGCTGAAGACCATCTCAGACAAATGGATGGGATTCTATTAAGGAATGAATATAATAAATCATTCACTGGTACACACTACTGTAGGTTGTGTCTGGGTGACTGAAGTCTTGCTGTACCAGAAATATTAGGCTCATTTCTCCTTTGTTCAATCAACATTTCTTGAGTGTATGCTCTGTGCCTGGCACTGTGCTGGGAATACAGAAACAAATGCCAGTTCCTATCCCACAGAATCACACAGCATGTGTTTCTGAAGCCAAGTGTACAAAAGAGGAAACCAAATTTCAACCAGGGGAGCAGTCCCTGTAATTTGAGAGCCAAATTGTGGGCTGTGGGTGTAAATTGCTGCCGCAGAATGAGGGATAAGGGATTTGGTTTGGGGGAACCTCTTTGCAGCCCTCCTGGAATGTTCTCAATTTACTAACTCATTTTGCAGCTGTGCAAGAAGCCAGATGGCATTCATTATTCCCAATACGCTCCAGAATACAGGGCAAAAGGCCACAGTTAACTGCATTATCAATGGGAACAGAGCACACAAAGATAATCCAAAAAGCTCCTGTGAATCTTTATTTTCGATTTCTCTCATCACTTCTGTATAGAAATTCTAGTAAGTAACAAGTAATAGGAGTTAGCATCTTTTCCGTTTCCTTGTCATTCTTTTGCTATTGCTGCTAATAGAGAAACTCTAAATGGACTGGTCAACCAGCAAATTAGGAGGTGTCAAAAAGCAGGACATTCTCACCAAAGAGGTGTTCCAGAGACGCTGGGGACCACTAGCCAGAGAGGCTGCGGCTGGGAGCTGCCTGGGGAGGAGGCTGAGCCAGCCGAGCTTCCGTGATTCCTTAAACTTGTTGCCGTCCAGTCATTCCGACTCATAGCGACCCTATAAGACGGGGTAGATCTGCCCCATAGGATTTCCAAAGCGGCTGGATTCGAACTGCAGACCTTTTGGTTAGCAGCTGAACGTTTAACCACTGCCCCACCAGGGCCTCGTGATTCCTTAAGGAGGCTCCAAATCCGGCAGCAGAGAAAAGGAGAATGACTAGGAAGAGGAACCCCCAACCTGGACACCTGCATAACATAAGCTGGAGTTAAATTTACTGGCAGGCGCCACTTTAGGACTGTCAAAGGAAACAACCCCTTAAGCGAGTTTCCTGTGTGGTCACAGCCTGGCCACACATTCCGAGTCAGCTGGAGGGTACCAGAGAGAGCCAGAGCTGGAAGGAGGCCCAAGGGCGCATCTGGTCCCCGTTGCAGGATATGTCCTCTCATTTGCAGGAAAGGGAAGGGCGGGCGAGTCTTCTGTCCCGCACTGTTCCCCTCCCCTCTCCATCCCTTGACCAAGGACAGAGGCTATGTAGCTCTAATCCAAGCGGCTTAACTCGGTTACCCTCCCGTTTTACAGCCTCGCACGCCATCCCCATCCTGAAACCAACTTTAGATTCTTTAACTCAGTTTCGCAAGCAGTAGTAACTGGAGGGGAAGAAGTTTCCATCGTCTTCCGTTCCTCTTTGCCAATCTGCCCGCGCCCGCGATGGGGGCCTGAGAAAGGGGAATGGACTTTCTCCCCCCCGGCATGCAGAACAACTGGAAAGGCATGAAGTCAGAACACTGTACCTCCTATGAGGTCCAAGTCCGGGGCTGCAGTGACACGACAGGAGGAAGGAAGCAAGGAGTCATTGCCGGTAGTCAGGCGGGGCTCGTCCGCACTAACTAGGATTCTTTCCCGATCTCTAAAGCGCTCCCATTTCAGGCACTGGACCCAGCCATCCTCCCCCAAGAAGCGAACAGTAGTAACAGGTAGGGTTCCCACAGCACCCACCGCGGGTCCCGAATCCCCGCGGCCCCCTCCGCCTTCGGGGCAGCCTCCCACGGTGGGCGGGAGGTGCGAGCTAGTTGGTGAGTCCTCCCGGCGAGGGGATCTAGGGAACTCCCGCTCCGCGCTCATTGGAGGCGCCCACTGGAGCAGATCTGCCCACTGGAGCAGGTCTGCCCACTGCCCCTTCAGCCTAAATCTCCCAAATCCGTAATCTTATACGGGGATCGGACTTTGAGCGCTCCGGGATACTCAGGGAAGTGGGGAACCCCGGGTACCCTGGGGTCAGACGCCGGGCGATTGCTACCCAGGAAGCAGGAAGCGCCAGAAAGCAGAGCAGGGGAGTGGGGCCGGCGGCGCTACCCCCTCCCACCTGGCAGAGGGCCAGAGAAGAGGCGCGGCGACCCGGAGAGGGTCATCTGCAGCTGGGGTGCAGAGGGGAGCATCAGCCCAGCCAGCCAGCGCCCCAGCCCTCGCTCCCGCGTGCGCACTCACCGCTCCACAGTCGACCCGCCCCGCCCCGCGGTCCAGCCAGCAGCACCACTACCAGCACCGCCAGCAGCGGGGCTGGCGGTTGCATGGCCCGGCTCGGATGCCCCCTTGGACGCCGGGGTGCTACAGCGGTGGAGCGGGCGGAAAGGCAGCGGCGTGCGCGACAACTGCAGCGGCGGCGGCAGCAGCAGCATCTCCGGAAGACCGACGGACTGGGCACTGCGAAGAGGCGGGGAGGGCACAGAGCCAGTCCGCCGCCCCTCCGCCCCCTGGGACGTCACTGCGGGGAGGGCAGCCCCGCCGGCTGGTCAGCCCCGCCTGACGGCCTCCTCCAGCGCTCTCTGCCAGTCACTGGGCTGGCCTCAGGGGAGCGAGACGCGGAGGGGAGGCATCCCACCACCCTGCCTTTGCGGGGAGGTCAAGCGCTTGCCAAGAGGGCAAGGCGGAGGAAAATCCGTCTGGCTTCTCTGAAATCTGGTGAAGAGTGCACTGTGGCTAAAGACAGGACCGTATCTCGCCCCCATTTTCCCCCGCCCACCTCCCCCAGCAACACCCAGGTTCACCCTGCGCCCTAGGTTCTGCATATGGGTCAGTGGGAGAGATTAGGCACTGGGACCTACCTGAGGGTCGGTGGGCTGCAGTCTCAGGGCTGCACCTAAGAAAGGGATGGTCCATGCAGAGAACATATGCTCAAGCAGGACATGCAGGCAGTGTGCACACAGGGAAGGTAAGTTATGGGGTACAGTGTAGGTAGCATCCAGAGAAGATGGCTAAGTTGGGGTTCTCCTGGCTGACAGGAGAGTGGCTTCCACCAGAAGCCAAAGGGTGTTCCTGAACTCAGCAAAGAAATGATTCTGTTTTTCGCAGGGCGCATGTTGGGAGGTGGGAGTGAAGATTATAGAGTTCAGCCTTGGACTGGTGGTAGAAGGGAGATGAATTGGAAAGAATGACCCGTTTCCTCTGGAAAAGCTTTCCTAACCAACCCAGCCCTCAGTGTCTGATCCCTCTTCTAATTCCCAGAATAGTTTATTGTGTTTTACATTTGTTTCTTACAGTAAGCAAAGTGTTTTCAACTGTATTCAAATAATAGTGAGTCCCCTGTCCAAAGACAGCTAAGTGACAGAAGGTGGATATGATTTCTTTGCCTTTCTCCCCATACCAAGCTGATGTGAAGCATAGCAGAAGCCCCACCTGCTCCAGTGACTTCTGGATTTTGGTCCCAGAGTGCTTACCTGCTCATCCTGCGTTCCAAAGCAACAGTTAAGAAAGTACAGCTGATCCTTAGGCCTTGAGCCACTGCAATTCTAGACAACTTCAGGCTGGGGGGATCTGATCTATTTTAGTATCATCTGATAATGTGGGGAAGATCTGCTACTGCAGAAAACCGCAGCATCAGCAGGATGAGGATTGACCAGTATGACAAGTTTCACTTATAGCCTGTCTCTATGTCCCCATTAGAATGTCTCACATCCAACACACATTGTTTCTAGAAATTCCTGGTTATCAACATATTCAAAGAGAGAACTGCTATAGTGAAAAAGAAGCACTTAAGTTGGCATTTGATGTTCTGTTTCAAATCCTGCTTTTCTTCACTTCCTGTTTGGCCTTCGGTAAGCCCCTTTGTCCCTCAAAATTTCATTTAACTCTTGGTAACACTAACAGTTACCTTAAGAATTTTATGAGGGTTAGATAAGGTAAATATATAAGGAAGTGTGCAGAAAGCTGGGCACAGAACCAAATGTCCATTGAAAATGATTTATTCCCAATATTACAACATCTACTACAGCTCAGAGAAGCTGTTCATTTGGCCCAAATATTTACATGGTGCTCTGAGTCCCTTTAATATCCTAGACCTCAGTCCAGATTGACTTTGTTAAGGTACGTAGTTAACCTAGTGTGGTAGATTGCATTATTGGCACCAATTCTTTAGCCTTCCCTGTAGTCATGCCCTTTACCACATGACTTTATATTTCCTCCCATTAATGGGACAGTGTGTATTTCCACACCCCTTGATTTTGTGTTCAGTCATGTGACTTGCTTTGGCTGATAGAGTGAGCCAGAAGTTCTGAGCCTAGACCATAAGAGGTCTCACATGTTCTCGTTTGTTCTCTTGATTCTCTGCTGCTGTATGAATGGAACATACCTTGCATATCCCGCTAGTCTAAAGAGGATTATACATGGAGCAGAGCTGCTTAAATCAATCAACAGACTTGTAGTAAAAAGCAGAGCTGCCCAAGACACTCTAGCCTGAAGCAGAGCTGCCTGACCAAGCCAAGATCAGCCAAACCTCAGCTGACTGCACTTGTGTGAGCAATAGTAAATGGTTGTTGTTTTGGACCATTTGGTTATGCAGCATTGTTGCAGCAATAGCTAACTATTGTTTATCTGCTAATGCAAGGAGGTGTCACCAGGGGAAGGCTGGTTGCCAAGAGGGCTCACAAAATGGAATTTATCTTCATAAGATTATCTTGGCCCAGGGTCCAATCCTTAGTTTGGCAAGCTCAAACTCAATCTAACTAAGAGACTAATATAAATATATTTACATGTTGACAAATATAATTGCTAGGTAAACAAGATGTTTGCCTTGGCCTGTTTAGCACATATTTTACCTGTGGAAATGAGATTTCTCAGAGCATGGAATCAGAACAAGGGGAATTAGTTGTATGATTTGAAGGTTAATACTTTGATAGCCTGCTATGTCCACTTTCACAATAGAAATCTACCTGACAAATACATCAACCTGGCAGGGCACCATTTATTTTTGATGGTACTTGGATGGACATTGCCAGCTTAAATCTCTTTAGATTTTCCCTATTCTAGGCCTACCTTCCTTCTGTTCAAAAGATTTTTCTTCAAATAGAGTTCTGTGGCACTATTAGTTGTCCCCCAATATCTATTATCCACTTCTTTTAGAGATGGAGTCCTGAGTTTCAACTAGACGGATGGCCTCCCATCTAAAGACTATTTCCTAGCTTATCTTATGTTATGGCTTAGTGTGGCCCTGTGATTAAGTTCTGGCCAATGGGATGTGAGAGGAAGTGTTATATTCAACTTCCAGGTCATGACCTTTAAAGGAAGGGGTGTGCTCTTTCTTTCCCCTTTCCCCCACCTGTTTGCTCAAATGTGGACATAATAGGGGACCTGGAAAGTCATTCTCACCCACAAGATGGAAGCAGCCTATTGACAATGGCAGAGCAGCAAGATAGAAGGAACCTGGGTCACTGATGATTAGAGAGCTTTCATATCAGCCCAGAGTTGCCTATCTGACCTTTTTTTTTTGCTAAGAGAGAAATAAACCTCTTTCTTGTTTAACCCTTTTGCTTTGGGTCTCTCTTTTACAGCAGCTGAACTAATATCCTAAAAAATTTGGATACTAAACAATTGATTTGGTTTTTGCTTACTACATTACTAGAATCCATATTACAGATGATTGTCGACTGGCATTTCAGGAATTACCAAATTTCTTAGATATAAATTTCAGATAATCTCTTGGCTTACTCTTTCAGATGGGAAATTATACCAATTGTGTGAGAATTTTACTAGTTCAACTCTGAGGTTAACCTCATTTTCCTTATTTCCAAGTTCTGAGTGGGTACTTTACTGTTACCCCTATGTATGGGCAAGTAGCCCTTGACTAGGACTGATATCATAAAGAATAAATATGCCAAATAAAGAACATTTGGTAACAAATGTAAAAAATTGGTTTATGTTAAGGTTGGCTAAAAAGCCTTAATGCAAGTTGAATCTGAAGAATGGTACCATTCTTTTCTTTTCCTCCAGAGACTGGATATGAGGGTGGCCCTTGACTAAACTCTGAGTGCTCACAATGAGTAGTTTCAAAGCTGAGTCTAGTATTTATGTGGTTAAGGAAGAACCATTAGGAGGATGCAGTTCAGCAATATATCCTTTCTTATTTGTATGAAACACAAAAAACAAAACAAAACAAAAACAAACCAGTTGTCATCCAGTTGATTCTGACTCATGGTAACCCCAAGTGTTAGAGAGTAGTACTATGCTCCATAGGGTTTTCAAAGCTGTGACCTTTCAGAAGCAGATCGCTAAGCCTTTCTTCTGAGGTGCCTCTGGGTGGGTTCAAACTGCCAAGCTTTTGGTTAATAGTTGAGGAATAATTTGGAAGGGATTAGTAGGTACATGAAGAAAATGAATATTCCTCTACATAGTAAAACCAGTTGCTGTTGAGTGGACCCCGACTCACGGTGACCCCATGTGTGTCAGAGTAGAACTGTGCTCCATATGGTTTTCAATGGCTGATTTTTTGGAAATAGATTGCCAGGCTTTTCTTCTGAGGTGCCTCTGGGTAGACTCAAACCTACACAGTAGTTGGACATAAAAGTCAGACTTCATTGGAGAGTAGTGGCCTTGTAGTTGAAAAAACATTTCCCTTTCTTTTTATTTAGATTGCAATGTATTGTAAAATAATGCTTGTTCTTGGGAAGTGTGTGTGTTTCAGATATTGCTTATTGGGTAATTAGTAGTATAATTGGCCTTGGAGAACTCATAATTATTCTTATCTGTGCTATAGATCTTGAAGCACAAAAGCTCTGTTCTTGGGATTCTCCTTCTATGCTCCCAGACTATCCTGCTCTGTAGGTATTGGGTTGGCTGTACTGCTGAAGACGGTTATGGATTAAATAACTTATACTTGGGACAATGCAGTGCTTGGGGGAGGGAAGATGAATGGATTCTGTGGGTAGGAGCAAATGGAATTTCCTAAAAGGATGTAAATTGGCCAGGTATAGGAGGTACAAAGAGGATAGCAGAGCAAAGTCAGAAACAGGTGTACCCACAAGGAGACCTCCTCAGAGGGTTTAACTTCTTGGCTCTTTACCCCCTAATTTAGAGAAAAGATATTGAGCATATTACAATTTTAAGATTTCCTTTCCTTTCTTTGTAATTCTCATTACTTACCCCAGTACTTCAGTGAAGTCTAAGACTGACTGTCTCGATGTGGTGGGAAAATAAAGGGTGAGAGAAATAAGCGGTCATGTGGAGGACCCCACACCTACTCCTCTGGTGGCACTGTGGAGGAGCAGCAGCATTTTAGGGGTTTGCCAAGGAGTTCAGGTGGAGGCCAATAGTGAATGATGGTCCTGAGTAGAACAACGAGCACCAGGAGAGAGCATATGACTCTGAGTAGGGTTGTCAATTGGGCAATTCAGAAGGAACATACACTTAACATGCTCTTTTCTAATATATACAAAAGACAATGACCCTTGGAAGTGAGGGAGGTTGGCACTGGGATTGCATATGTAGGTTAAGCCACAGGCATACTAAATCAGTTATTCACAAAATCAGAAGCAATTCATTTCTGGTAATGACATCAGACACATTCCAGAAACTGAGCAAACCGAATTTTGGGAAAGCTTTTTTTTTCAAAGCAAGAAAAATTTAAAGAATTGTCTTTTCATCCCTACTTTCTTACTAATTGTTTTTACTGGTGGTCTACAGGTTGGGATGCATAAAACCCTTGTTTCTAGTTTATCTGGTATTCATAAAGTAGGTCAAATCTAGAAATTCTGGAAATATCCTTAAAATACAAACCTGATAAACAGGAGTTTGAGAAGATATGAGAGGATAGAGATGATTATTTTTGTATTGTCAAACACAGAAGTATCCAATAAGCAAAATAAATACAAGTATTCAATAACTGGTAAAATGCCAAGGAGTTTACATATTTAACCTTTATTTCTTTGTCCATTTTAACTAAGTGATCCCAAAGATCTGATGTAAGAGTAGGTTGTTTCAAAAGTGAAGATATAAGTAAGCCATCCTCCACTATGTGTGAATCAAATTAGTCCAAGGCTTTGACTTCTTCTTGATCCTGTTTCTCTGACTCTGATATCACCTTCCTATTGATAGTAACACAAATCAGTTCCAATACACAGAACTCTATAGTTCTGAACACACCATAGCATGAAAACAACTTTTGAAAATTTCCCCAGTAAAAATTTACTATCTTGTGATTCTGATTATGCATTAGGTTTACTTGCAACCAAATATAAACTTATGTGTGGGAGAAGTTGAATCTGAAGAATGGTACCATTCTTTTCTCTTCCTCCAGAGACTGGATACTAGGGTGACCCTTGACTAAATTCTCAGCACTCAGGATGAGTAGCTTCAAAGCTGAGTCTAGTCTTTATGTGGTTAAGGGAGAACCATTAGAAGAAATGCAGCTCTGCAATATGTCGTTTCTTATTTATAGGAAACACGCTGTGAAATGTGATTTGAAGGGCCTGGGAGAAGACCAACTACCCAGACATGTTTTGTTCACAGTCACACTTTTAAGATTTCATCACTGGTAATTTAATTCTTTGGATTACCCATTATTCCCTGGAGTCAGTCCTCTTTTAAAATGCAAATATTCCTGGGATGCATAATAAACATATTGCTACTAAAACCTTACTATGAACATACTTTCTAGCTCTTTCTCTTTGACAGGGGGACCCAGATTACCCTGAGAAAATTTGTTGGGGGAGGGATGGTAAAGGTGTATCTGTGTATGCAGGGCATTTTGAACGGAGAAGAAAGGATGGAGGGAGGAAAAGAGAGCAAAGTTAAAGCATTTCACAATTGTTTCTAAAATATTTACAAAATTATAAAAAGCTTCTAAATTAACATACAGTATAAAAACATCACATTCTAAATAGCTAATACTGAACTACGTGATATTTTTGAATGAAAATTTTTTGTTACAAATATCTTTTGAATTCCTACATGCAGGCAGTGTGGGTAGGCACTTTGGGGGACCCAATTTCTCATACAGCTTACAGTTTAGTTATGGAACAAGACATAAATACATGAAAAGTTAAATAACAATTTAAGAGATTACGAGAGTTGAATAATTATAAGATACTGGCACAAAGTAGTGCATGATTAATTGTCAAAAGAATGGTACAGACAATAAACGTATAAGAAGTTCAGGGGAAGGAAATGACATACTGAAATGGAGTAAAATTCAAAGGCTTCAGGACAGATACGGGAAAAAGAGCAAGTCAATGTACAAAAGGAGCTAACTAACTAAGCTTTTAAATTATTAAAGGAATTATCTGTTGAAGCTGTGAAACAATGTTTTACTGTTAGGGTGGATCAACATGAGTAGTAGCAGGAATGTTCTGAGTCATTCCTGCAAAAATACATACAGAAATCTAGGGCACCCCAACGTATCTGTTGATGCTATTCAAGTAGCAGTCTTCATCCATTATTTTAATCAGATCAATGAATCTTTTGATTGGACTAGTTTTGCTCTACGTTTAGAACCTATGTCAAATCAGCTGGCTAAAAAGCAAGAAATTAAATTGCTGAGCCTTGTGTAGACAATACAGATAGACAAGGAAATATTTTAATTTTTTCAAAAGGTATTTTTTATTAGTGTAGACATGTCCATGTACTTTATGGGTATTACTTAGATAACATTAAAGGGAATCAGCCTCAGTACATATTAGATCAGACTCACAATTCAACTACTTTCTAATTGTTCTTCCCTGAATTTAGTATGCAAATAAATATTTGCCAAATTAAAGTTGAGTTAGCTAGATTGGTTTTTAGTCATAACACAAAAATGGAGAGATTTCCGATTAGGGGGTTCTTTAATGATTAACTGGTAATAGCTGGTTTCCTTTAATATCTTCTAGACCACGTGCCTGGTCCCCTTCTAATATTATTCTAGGAATTAGGCTATTAATCCATCACTGAGAGACTATAAAGCCATTGCTACGTGAACTTGGTTTTAGAAAGCTCAGATATGCCATTCGCGGTATCATAGCTGGTGGTTTACAAGGCCTGCTGATCTGTTAAAGATGGTGGGGTAGGTATGGGTAGGAAAGGGTTGAGATGGGAAGGCAGGTTAGCTGGGATGTGAAGGGATAGAAAAAGAATGTATACAGAGATTCAAGACTGATCTGCTCTCCTGATATGCAGGTGGGCCTACAGCCTTTAATGTTTTTGAGAAGAAAGTTTATTCAAGGCAAGAAATCTAATACAGTAGGGTGGGTTTTCAGAAGACTTGAGGTAAGAGGCAAAGTGAGTAAGCAAAAGCAATGCTTCTCTACACAGTAACAAGAAAAGTGAGAGTATTTTGACAGAAGTAAACTTACTTTGCTTCATGTACTTTGGCCTTTCTTCTACAACGAAGGGAGATCATTTCTTTCTAAAAAAAAAAAAAAAAAAGACACTAAAACTAAAAAGGAACAATTTCACTTCTTTCACTGACAGAAATTTGCTGACTTGAAAAAGTCTGAGGTAAAACTATAAAAGAATTTATACAGATTAGCCTCTTAATTTGGAAGCTGTGGGTTCAGAAATATTCTAGATTAGGGAATATGGGATTCTCTCAGGAGAATGTGTATTTTGAATCCACACGTTTACAGAGTGCTCTTATTGTTTTTATTAAGCGTGTTCTTCTTCACTTAGCATTTATTTTTCTATGAGCAAAGCTAGATCAATCATTGCAAAGCAAATATTAGCACTGAAGTAGCCTATGTTAATACCCCACAGATTTATAATAAGTGGACAAGAAGCTTCACTGAAAATAATACCTCACCTTTCACACTAGCAGAGCTGCAAACTCTGGAGATATCTTTGGTTTATCAAGGATTAACAAACTCCCTGATTTTTATACCTCCCCAACAGTTTATAGAAAGTTCTGGACCCTGGGTATCTAGATTCAAGAAGTCAATCTACTAAACCTCTGAGAAGTCGCTACAGTTCATCCCTCCAGATAGAGTTATCTGAATGCCTCACAATCAGTCTCACCATGATCCTTTCTTCTCTTTGTTTTCTTAATAGTTGGAGAATCTCATCTCTTTTCTTAGCCTGTTTAAAGGGAAAAAAAAAAAGTGGATGAGCCTTTGACTCAATCAGTAATAGAGCTTTGTGCCTGTGAAGGGTAGTATTCCATTTTCTTCTCACATTCTTTGGCAGGGTTTTAAAATATTTTTTCCATGAAAGATTTATACTTTATCATTTCAATACAAAAATATGTAACACAATCCAGTGTTGGATGGATTCTAGAGGATGTTGCTTTACAAACTAATAGAATTTTTTCCCCTCTGTCTAATAATAGCTAATTTTTGTTAAGCCTTTACTACGTGAACAATTCTAAGAACTTTATACAAATTACATACTTCTTCTAACAATTCAGGAGCTTGAGGGTACTATTACCCCAATTTTATAGACGAGGAAACTGAAGCTGAGGGAGATTAAATAACTTATCCAAGCTATTAAGTGGCAGGACTGGATTTGATCCCAGCTCCATCTGACTATAAAGCCCAGACTGTTGACTACTACACTAAATTGCCATTTAATGGCAGCGAGATACAAAATCAGCCAGCTCAAAGAACATGCCACCACCTAAGTTCATGGTTAAGCAGGCTCTTCTTAGTGGCTTGCATACGGGAACAAAGCCTTATTCTCTTATCTCTCCTTTCTCTGTCCCAGATATTGAAACTTGTACATTCTCCAGTAAGTTTTCTTAAATGTTAAAAAACTAATTTAGTCCAAGCATGAAGATTTATCAAGATACAAAAACCAAACCAGTTGCTGTCAAGTTGATTCTGACTCATGGCGACCTTACGTGTGTCAGGTTAGAACTGTACTCTATAATGTTTTCAATGGCTGATGTTTTGGAAGTAGATCACAAGACCCTTCTTCCAAGGTGCCTCTGGGTGGGTTTGAACCACCAACCTTTTGGTTAGTAGTCCAGTGCGTAACCATTTGTGTCACCCAGGGACTCCTAATTATAGGTGCAATATATTTTTACTAGACGCCATCTATGTTCAGTTTTGGAGATAGCCAGGCAGAAAATCACATCTGTAGTATGAGAGAACAAAAGAAAAACTGGAAAATCTGAAAGATAAAACTTGTACTTCAGGAGTCAAATAAAATGAAAGAAATTCCATTTAGATCAAGGCCAGAAGCAAGACATAACTGAAAATAGACACAGATTTGTTATAACCAGATAAAATTCTAAGTCATCCATCCATCCATCCATTCATCCAATATTTATCGAGCACATACAGAGTAACATTATAGTGCTAGGGGTTGAACAGAACGCCATACCTGCCTGAAAGATGATTGCAGATTTGTCGGAGAAATGTGCTGTAACAGGGTTAATGCAGCATGCAATCCTAATTCAGACTGAGGGGCAGGCACAGGAAAGCTGTCCCAGAGGAGATGATGTCCAAGCTTAGACCTGAAAGTGGTAGTCACCAGGTAACCATGGGACAGGTTGAGGAAGAGAGCTTTTGAGGCAGAGTGTGTATAAAGACCTAGAGGCTGCTACATTGCTAATTCCTCAGGATGATCCTAGACCCTATTCCTGATGGCTCAGCTGCATGGAGAGCTGGGAACCTCGGCATGTTCCACCGAGACATGTGAGAGGAGGAGCCTGTACTGGGGCATCTGTAATCATCAGCTGGGCTAAGTACACTGGAAGTACACTGGGTGCCTTTGCTTTGCATCATTCTGTTCAAATCTTATGAATTTTCCTTTTGAGCCTACAAAGCCATCTATTTGATTTTGAAACTGGATTTCTACTTTTTTTTTTTTTTTAATTTTAGGCATCATATATCACAGTTACCAAAAGGAAAAAAAAAAAATTCAGAGTACTTCTAAAAAGTAAGCTAAGTTTAATAATACCTGTCAACTTGCTATAGATTGAGTAAAATGTCTGTAGACAATACCTGGGGTATTTTCAATGTACACATTCAATCTTAGTTTCTTTTCCAACTGTTGCATTATACTTGTACTCAATTGGAATTAATTGCCTCCATATTGTGATTACATAGCATTTCCTACCTTTATTATGGTATTGATCTTACTTTTTCCCTGCTTTATCACTTAGTTGCTACCATATCTGTGTCTTTGCGAGTCTTATCTTTTTACTCTTTCTTAGAGCTTAGCAGAACCTTGTATATGATACGTAATTAATTTTTGTTAAATTGAATTGATTGAGTCATGATGTGTGAATGAAATTATTGCAGTGGCTAATACACAATTATTAACCTAAGCAAAAAGAAAAAAAAAAAGTTTTAGAAAGTGAAATCAAACAGTGGGATAAGTTTAGTTCTTAAATCCCCTGTAAAGAAAACTATATGATTATTTTCTCTGGAACTATTGGATGTCCAAAGGCAAGCTATATTGTCATAACGCTTCTAATATAAAAAAAAATTTAATCACTAGATTATAAAATAATAGTATAATAAAAATACATTCATTTATTTTTTACTTTGATTTCAGATCTTTTTATTATTATAATGGGTTTTAGTAACAAACCAGTTTTGTAATATATTATAGTGCACAGAAACAAATCTTTCAAATATGATTTGATTTGTGTTTCCCGATCTGCTTCCTGGAAATGAATAACAAAACTACTGTAAACAACTGTGCCATCTGAACACAGTTGCCGACTATTCTAAGAAATCTCCGCCAGGATAACTAAATAGAATTCTGTGGTAAGAGAAAATCCTTACAGTCTTATTACTAGGGAAAAATAATTTACTTGCTAATTTCATAACAACAAAAGGATTCTCATTTCTAATCATTGTGCTTTATTAATGAAATTTTATAAGACATTTAAAAATTTAATTTATTAGTTCCTAAAATAATACTTTTAGGTCAGAATGCATATTTATAATATTTCTATAGTATATGTTTATATATCTTATTTATATTACATTAATTACATTTACTCACATTTTATTTTTATATTTATAATTATTCCTGAAAAAATAAATTATGGAATAAAAATTGATTGTAGGAAATTAGGGTATGATGATATTTCAATTTAATGTCTCATAGATGGCTGATGAGTTTTAGTGTCACCTCAATAGTTAAATTGCTTAGTCCTGTCTTTTTGACTTTTTAGAGCCAAACAACTTGTGTGGCAACATTAATCTAGATTAGTGGAGTCAGATAAATTTGGGCTTGAATCTCACTTCTGCTCTGTGATTAACGGCAAGTACTATATTTTTTTAAATAATATTTTATTGAGTTTTTGGTGAAAGTTTACACAGCAAGTTAGGTTCCCATGTGATAGTTTTCACACAAATTTTTCAGCGACTTTAGTTACATTTATCATAATGTGTCAACATTTTCTTTAATTGTATTATTTGTTCCCTTTCTATACTCTAGTTTCCCAGCCCCCTTATCTTCTTATCTTTGCTTTTAAGAAATTGTTGACCTTTTGGTCTCATACTGATGGTTTTTGAGCAGGGAATTGATCTTATGAGTAATGTCCTTTATTTTGTGTGCCACTCTATTTTGCTGAAAGGTGATCTCAGGAGATAGGCTCGGTTCTAGGTTTAAAGAGTGTCTCAGGACGATGGTCTCACGGGGTCTTCGGTTCTCTATTGTTCCCTTTTGTCTAGCTTTTTCTTTTTTATTTTTAATAAGAATTTGAGTTCTGCTCTATATTTTTCTCCCAATCTATCCAGGATCAACTACTGTGGCCAGTCAATGGTGGTAGCCGGGCACCATCTAGTTCTTCTGGTCTCAGGGTAGGTGAGGTTGTGGCTCTTGTAGACTTGTTTCTTCTCTGTGCTTTTGGTTACCTTCTTACTGTCTTGCTCCTAGTGAGTCAAGACCTGTACTTGTGTCTTAGGTGGTCACTTGCAATCTTTTAAGACTCCAGATGCTATTCACTTCACTAGGATGCAGATCATGATTTTCTGTGAACTATGTTATGCCAATTGACTAAGTTGTCCCATGAGACTATGGTTCTAAGCCTTCAAACCCAGAAAACCGATGTTGGAATGTGTTCGGTTATGTCTGAGGAGTATCTGTATATGTGTCTTCAATGAATGTGTGAGACTGCACCCACGTATTTGTTCAAACCCACCAGCTGATTATCTCTTAGGAAATTGTTTCTGTGGTTTTATTGTTGTGATGGTGCTCTGGGATTCCAATAATTCTAATGTTAGATTTCTTAATTGAATCCCACATTTCCTTTTGGGTTTGTTTGCTTTTCTTTGTTCTTGTCTCTTGTTTCTCTTGAGCCTTGATAAGTTCAGTTATTTTGTCTTCTAGTTCACTGCCTTCTGTATGTTCGACTCTGTTGTTGTTTCTCTTGCTTTTTCTAATTCAGATATTTTATTCTTCAGTTCTAGTAGTTTTCTTTCTTTCTTTGTTTTCTGGGATGTTTTCAATTTCTTTGTTAAGTTTCTCATTTGGTCCTCTATTTGTTTCCCAAACTCTGCTAGTTTGTTTTCTGCGTGCTTTTTGTTTTCTTTAAACATATTTAGCACCATAGTCTGAAAATTATCAATTATTTGCATTATTCTGGCTCCCATAGGAGAGATTGCCTCTTCTCCATGTTTTGCTTTTGATTGCTCCTTCTTCTCTTGTAATTTCATGTTTTATTAACTTTTGTTGAACTTGGGCCATTTTGTTATCTTTTTTTTTTTTGCTTCAAATTTTTTATTCTGTTTATTGTGGGTAAATTTTCTGATTGGGTGCCCGGGTGTTGCAGCAGCCAAGCGTCTGGCTGCCAACTGAAAGGCCAGGGCTTGCATCCACCAGCTGCTCTGTGGGAGAGAGATGTGGCAGACTGCCTCTGCAAAGACTCACAGCTCTGGGAACTCCACCGGGCAGCTTCCCTCAGCCCACCTGTTCGTTTTGGGTCAAAATGACCCTGCGCAGTAGGTTTGGTATCTTCTCGGGAGAACCACTAGATGGTACTCTTATCCATAGGTATTTTTCAATGCTGGTTCAGGAGTTCTGTACGTTTGGCCTCTGGAATTCAGTACACTTGTGCGTGAGAGGTGGGGATTTAGTTGTTCGGAGACTCTGCTGTAAGGGATAGGGCTTGACTTTCC